AGCAACAGCTACAAAACTTACATGTTGTGGAAGATGTCATCGTTGATGTGACGGCGTAGAGCGTTCCTGCTGCCTGACGATCCGCCATCTGTAACATAAGACACAAAACATGCGCTATTCCTTGCCATATCCTTTAGGGAATACACTTGCAATGCTTCGGAGAAGTCAGTGCTGTACTATTACAAAAGTAGGACTAGCTACGCCCACCAGACCACGTCTCACGTAACAGGCTTCGCGATATACAGCGAAACCCTCTTACGCTGCGACGCGCCTGGCGAACGTACTGCATCTAGGACTGCTACGGGGGAGTCTTTAGTTACTCACGTCTGCTTCCTTCGCCCCAACAGTCATCCACGCTCCTGGGGTGGTAGCATCTGGGATAGGTGGTCCAGCCTGAGAAGCCGTGGACGCCGTGAACCATCCTGACGCAGCGCATCATGGCGTCCATGTCTCGGCGCAGAGTAGCGCAGCTCACGCCGCAGCCACGGCTGCCAACGTCGCACCAGTAACGATCGTTGATCTGGAAGATGCCGTGGTCCGCACTGCCATCCGAGTTCATTCGACCAATGGCCTGCGTGTCGTATCTAAGTGACGGTGTAAATAGACGAGACGTAAGTTTTAAAACAGCAAAAAAAGACCCTTTTCACCCCTAGTGTGATGGTGCCTTACTTGGACTCCTCCCATGCGATGCAGACCCAGGTCGGAATGTCAGAGCGGCTGATCCCGTGCGTGTACCGAAGCTCCCGGGCTAATTCGCACCGATCGTACACATAAGCGTGGCCGGAGCCGCAAAGCAGGAGGAGGACGGCGAGGAGAAGACTGGCCATGGTCCTGCTGAGGAACGGTGGCACAAATACGGACACTGTAAAACCTATGGCACCTCAAAAAGAATGTCAATTTCGGCCATTTTCTAAAAGAATACCATAATTTTAAATTAGCATTGAAAGTAGGTCAAAACTTATCATATGCTGGAAGAATGACAAGTTTTTGTTGTCAGAGGTCAAAGAAGCCGATTATTTGCACATTCTGAAGTAATGCCAAAGTTGTACCTCCTTAGAGAATTCGGCCAAAATTCGGCAGTCATTAAAGAAATATGCTTAAATTTTGGGTGGTTCTACACGCTGGAGTCAATAAGACAATAAGGCTCTAATTTTGAAAAGTCTCAGACATCAAGATGGATCGCCTTGAAGTGAGAAACTTGATTCTTTGCGTTTGAGTCGGTTTGGGTGTACTTGCCCTTCTTACAGTCGGCTTTAGTCTGGACCTGATGAAGCGGGACGCAGTAGATGCTTTCCTCCTGGCTCAGCGAGGGCGAATGGCCGTGGCAGCCCAGCCCAATACATGGCCAAGCCGAGTTCTTCCCCGCGGGGCTGGACTGAGTCAGCCACTCGACCCTCTTGTCTTATTCTACATTGCCTCCGAATCGTACCGACGACATTGACACTCACTGCGACGCTCGCAGTGTCGTTGCATCTCGAACGCACTCATTGTCTGGGCGCGAGGGTGAGGTGCATTCCCCCGAGTATTCCCCATAAAACAAACTCACGCAGATTATGACTACACTATCTCTCGGATCTCAGTGAAAGCGGCTTGTAGCGCAACGCCCGATGTACACAGATGTTGCTAAATTTTGCAGTCTTTGATACGAAATTTGTCATTTTAAGCGCCAAAACTTTGCTCAATCAACAGTCAGAAATTATAAAGCGAAATATGCGTCCATTAAGACTACTGGTTTTTGTTCGTTTGTTATGATTGCTGGGTTGTTGGGTTGTCCCTTAAATTAAGTTAGATATATCTACTCATCTAGACGAATCGTTTTGTCTCGGATAAGCCTTCAGACTACGTGGCTAGTTACAGTTTTTGTACGATCTGGGCACCTAGGTTCAAAAACTGTCCCTTCCCACACCTAAAAAAAAAAAAAAACTGTAGAAACGAGCTTATGGTTACTGCAGGGACAACCATAAATTATGGTTGCAAGCCACAACAGCACAGGTGTATTAACCAAGAATATGGTTTTCACCACTGGCGTATTGTTCTCACAACCATATTTTATGGTTATCTCTAAAAAAAAACATGAGATGGTTCCCACAACTTTTCAGTTTTCTGGGTTCATTGAGAGTGTTGAACACGCGGGTGTGTTGTGTCGGTCTACCTAGCAGGCGCTCGCCGGGGCGGGTCGGGCCCGTGGTCCGGCCGGGCACCTCGGGCGACGTGAGCGTGAGCGCAGCGCCCGCCCAAATATTGATTGAGTGTGGCCGGCCTGTTTATTTGGCCGAGAGTCGTCCTCGTCCTTCTCTTGGCGAGTGCGAGACGCCGCCCCGCCCCGCCCCGCCCAGGGTATACAGCAGTTGCAAGGCGAGGCAGCCGGGTCCTTGTACGACTGGCGCCGTCTGGACGCGACCGCCGCCTCGAATGGGGCGGGACGCGGCGGCGCTGAGTTTGGCGAAGGGGTTGTTCGCTCTCTCCCTCTCTCTCTCCCCC